CCGCTGAGGGGGGTGGAGGTGTGGGAGCCGAGGGAGTGGCGCTAGGGGGGTGATGTGGGAGTGGAGCTAGAGGTGAAACAGGGGATGTGTGTAGGGGGGTGTGGGACAGTTGGAGGAGGCTGCAGCGCCTGTATTCCGGGGCCCTTGTCGCCGGTAGCTCAGAGAGCCGGTTGCACCTGTCGCCCGTGGGTCCGTTGCTCTTGCCGCTCCTCGTAGCCGCCGAGCCAGTTACTCCAGTAGTCCGGGGCGCTTTCCCGGTAGCCACTGTGTGCGCGCTCCTGTTGCCCGTGTGTCTGCAGCTTCAGTCGTTGTCTCCAATCTTCTACCCCTTCACAGTTCCTCCTCCTCCTCACTTGCCCTCTGTGATAGCCTCTAGCTTTTTTCGAAATTTTGAACTATTGCTGTGACTGCTCTTTGTGCTGATTACACCCCACTTTGACTATGGGGGTGTGTCAGATTATGTTATTTGTCTAGCCTGCAGTGGGGTGCTCAATAGTGAGTACAACCCCTTTAGGGTTTCCTATGAGTACCAACCTGCTTGTTAGTTCAATCATTCTCAATTCCTCTTCTCCAATTCTCCTTCGTATACCCCAAACCCTAGCTCTAGGGCACAACCTACCTACTCTATGTGTGGGCCTAGGCTACTAAGCCTAGGCCCCACTCCTAGTGATCCTGACAGAATGCTCTATGGCGTTATACGTCACCCACGTCGTCAAGGGCCTGCCGCGTAGCTACAACCTCATGAAGAGGATGATGATGGTGCCCGGCACGCGGGAGTCACTCGACGAGGACTCAATCACCAGCTACATCCTTCAAGATGAGGCTATGCAGGAGGCAGAGCAGCCCACGGAGCTCCTTCCGCAGGCGAGTTACGCTGCACCGACGAAGCAGAATCGTCCGCAGGGGCAGCGAGGAAAGTCTGGCGGAGGTGGTAGCGGAGGTGGGAGGTCGGCGAAGGACACCGACCAGGCGAAATCAATTCGTGATAGTGGTCGCGGCAAGGGTGGTCGACGGCGTGAGTGCTGGGTCTGCGGAAGCGCCGACCACCTCTCCTATGACTACCCCGACCGAGAAGACACTGACGACGATGACCACAAGGGAGGCCGCGGAAGGTCGGCCAACGGTCGTCAAAGTCGGGACGAGAAGCCGCGCAAGGAGAAGCTGACGTCAAAGAAGACGTCATCGACGAAGGAGGTCGACTCCTCCAGCGGCAAGGGGCAAGGTGACGGAGAGGCTTCATGCTCAATGGTCAGCATGGTGGAGCAGACTGTTTCGCTGGCGCCAGAGGCCGGCGAAGACTTCAAAGCGGTCGCAGCAGCCGTGCATGGCGAATACATTGGTGGTTCTGCTCGACAGCGGTTGCTCACACCACCTCATGGGGACGAAGGAGGCCTTCGTCGACATGGGGCCGAGCGGCAATGTGAAGCATGTGCGTGGCTTCAACGGGGCTCTGCAGACCGTCGAGGGCCGAGGCACCGTCGCTCTGCAAGGGGAGGCCGGGAAGCAGGTCCTCATACCCGGCGTGCTCTACGTCCCGGGCGTGCAGGCGAACCTGCTATCAGCCGGTCAGCTGAAGGAGAATGGTGTGCTGCTGCAGGACGACGACGACAAGACGATGCTTGTCAATGCGACCGGGGAGGTGCTCGGTCGAGCACGCTATACTGGCCGCGTCCTCTGCACCAACCTTCAACCCTGCTCGACAAAGCTGTCATCGAAGTCGACTGAGGTGGTGGCTCTGCGAACGATTGCTTCGGCAACGAAGTCGACGCCGCCCAGGTGGCACGCAAGGCTTGCGCACGTTGGCATTGACACCATCAAGAGCTCGGCGAAGCACAATGTCGCGACTGGCCTGGACATCACGCCTTCCACGGGGACCGATTTGCCGTGCGTCTCCTGCGTAGGTGGCAAACTTGCACGACACACCTTCCCTATAAAGGTTCGGACGCGGAGGAGGCCCTGGCCGTCGTGCACATCGACCTGTGCAGACCGTTTCAGGTGGCCGCCAAGGATGGCAGCTACTACTTCCTCCTGCTGAAGGATCGAAAGACTCGCTACGTGTGGGTGAGGCCGGTCGCCAAGAAGAGCGACGTCCTGCACGTGTTCGAGCAGTGGCTGCTGGTCGTGGAGAGGCAAACCAAGAAGTCGGTGATGATGCTCCGCTCCGACCGCGGAGGCGAGTTCCTGGGGAAGGACTTCACCAAGTTTGTCAACGACAAAAGAATTGTCCACGACCTGACCTGCCCCCACACTCCGCATGGCAGAGAGGGAGATGCGTACGGTCGTTGAGGCCGTGCGAACGATGCTGCTGCACATGGGCGTGCAGCACCACTGGTGGCATCTCGCCCTGCGGCAGGCCGTCTGGGTGCGCAACTGCTTGGAGCGGTCGACGTTGGCTCCGGGGACGACGCCGCACCAGCTGCTGACAGGCAAGAAGCCTGATCTCACTCTGGCGAGGGTGTGGGGCTGCATGGTGCAGTTCATGGTTCAGGGTGTGGAGTACATCGAAATCTGTTGTTTATGACACAAATAGGTAGTATCCCCGCTCAAAAAGTGTCAGTCTCGCGCACGAAGCTCAATGAGTTTTGTACAATGCCATTAATGTACCAATAAGTAGGTGTATTGTATAGCTAGTTGTGCAACGTGTCATCTCCTGTCCTCTCCTACCCCTTTCCTTTTCCCTAAAAATCCTTCGCCGCATCGCGGTTACCACAGAATCTTTCATTCGTCAATCCAACGAGATGAAGGAGGGGGGAGAGCCCCCTTTGGGTTACCCCTGGCTGTTGATCGTAATGTGCCTAACCACTTGTTTACACGCTTCGTTGGGTATCGAGGTAAGGATATATCCACTCCCATATGAGCAGTGCGAAACCCCGTTCTGGGGGGCTGGCAGAACTCGTCGGCACTGGGGTTTGATCCCGCAACCTCATCCTTCGGAAGTCCCATCTTACTTGACTGGGCCACTTCGGGATCGTCAATCCAACGATAGTGTGGTATCAACCGATACAAGTGTCATGTTACATGGCAATGCAAGACAGGGAGTGTACACAACACAGGGACTGTACATACCGTGTATTGTACATATCGTGTACCAAAGTTCATCCGACCCACGTCACCTACTCCATTCGCGGTAAACAAGGAACAGCAAACGGGCAGCAGAGGGAAAAGGTTCCGCGCCTAGGAGCATACAAAGCCCGACCAGTCGTGGACCGCACAGAGGCGCTGTTCTGCAGGCGTTATTGGTTCCGCATATTTTGTGCGGGCAGGGCCTTCCGCGTGGTTTCAGGGCGCATCCAACCTGGTGGAGTTGCGCGGATGTTGCATGGAAGTCCAGCACCATCCCAGCCGCACCTTCGCATTTTGGCGAGGTTGGTACTGCCCCGCATAACTTGTGCGGAGGGTGATGCCACCTCTCGAGGTGGAATCAGCACCGCACGGATGTTTGGACATTTTGCCCGTCAAAGAAACAGCCGCGAACCAGCTGAAGGTCAAACTTTTGCACACCAAAAGAAGCGTGTTCTGCTGGCAGAAGCGTCAAATTTGGCGCAAACAGGTTTGGCAGGACCTTTCTTATCACCATACCTGGATAAGCAGGAATGACCTTATCAGCGAATATTCTGCGCACCCGGTTTTTGGTCAATTAACGCCTGCAGAACAGTACCGGAGTCTTGTCGCAGATCCGAAGCTGGCTTGGGGGTGGCCTGGGGAATCTTTAGGGTTTTCGTCTTTCACGCTTCACCTCACCGCACCATAATCCCTGATCAATGCATCTGATACGGTCATGGTTTCGTCAGGCCAATCAGATGACTCATCAACAGATGACTCATCAGGTGACTCATCAACCGTGAATCGTGACCGTTAATCAGGTGACTCTTGCAGGATTCAAAGCCAAACCTTTCCCCCCTCCTCCACCTCCGCCTGCCCGCCCATACTCAGATCTCGGTACACTTGTGCAAGTGTCCCACCCACCCATGCCAAGCACAGCAGCGTACTGTACTGTACGCTAGGAAGGAAGCGCCATATTTAACAGCTTGAGCTTTCACGCGCGGCGGGCCAAGACCACTACCAACCACACCCTTATTCAGAAACAAAGGAGTAGCGATGGGGATGAGCAGAATGGAGATGAGTCGAGACTTCAAGCCAAACGCTCGAGATCCCCTCCCCCCCCAACACGGTGTAGACCATATCTCTAGCTGCTCTATGCTTTGCTGTACATGGTTACGACCTTAATATAACCTTAACCTTAACCCCCAACACACACGGGGACGGAGCGGGTGGCTGGGGGGAGGCTGGGCGGGAGGCTGGGAGGAGCGGAGAGGAGACAGAGTGGACAGGACAGCCATTGTTCTCCAAACTGGGGCAATTCTGGGATCCACTTTCCACCCAGCCAACCGATCCGCCCCGCCATTCCCTTCAACCATCCAACGCCGCGGACAACACATGCCATGTGCGCTGGGTTGGAGGCACTGGTCGGTCGGAGGCCCAGTCGAATCCGAAGCACAGGCGGAGGCAGAGTCGAAGGCACAGGCGGAGGCACAAGCACAGTAGTGCGACGCACAAGAGTAGCCAGGTTGGTTGGACCACCGCCAACCTAGTATACCACCACCTCCACCCACCCACGACCCGTTCCACACGCGTTTAGTCTTTGTACAGCATTAGGTGAGACAGACAAGACCAAACGAGACGCGCCGAGCCCTTCCCCCCAAAGTCCGCCGCAACGTCCGTGGCAGGAAGGAAGGAAGCAGGGAAGAGATGTTACCGTTCCAAGCCAAGCCAGCTTACGTTTCCAGTGTTTGTTTAAACCACCATGGTGAACAATGGTGTGGTTTCACTTCGAAACCATGCAACCCCAGTTGCAGCAGTGCAGCAGCACACAATTCACCATCACCTTACTGGCCTCACATATCACATCAGTACCAGCACCTTACGTTGCATCCCCCTTCCCTTTCCCCCGAACCAGGATTTCAAGGACGTGGGGGCGAACGGCACAGCAGCAGTGCCACATGGTCACCACATGGTCACCATCGCCCTCTCCTACGCGCCTCACTGCCTCTGCCTTTGAAGCACCTCAAAAACATTCCCCACCTTCAGCGCTTTCTGCCATCCCCCATCCCCTTTCCCCCGTCCCGTTCCCCCTTCCCCTCGCAATGCAACCAGGACTTCAAGGACGTGGGGGCGAACGGCGCAGCAGCAGTGCAGTGTCTCAACGACATGGTCACCATCGCCCTCTCGCACGCGCCTCACTGCCTCTGCTTCCTCGCTCAAGTGCATGACGCCCAAATCTTCAGATTCTGGGCCATTCCCCAGGTGACACCCTCCCCACGTGATGCCTTTCCTCGTGTAGTGCCGTTGGGGGGGGGGGGGGGGGTGTGGGTGGGTGGGGTTGATGGCAGTGTGCCTTACTCAATGTTTTCCCCAGGCGTCTCATTGTGACATCGTGTATTCTCCTAAACCCGCGCTCTGTCGAGTGCTGCTAATGCAAGGCTCGCCACTGGGTCACGTCACACCGAGCTTTGACACGTCTCGAAACCCGACCCACCCTGGGCCTGGTCACATTGTCAACTTGTCTTCCTGCTGTGCCCGCTTGCAGTATATTCTTGCTGGGTCTGGTCTGTCTCACGTATGCTTGCCTTCTTGTCCGTCTCTCATTCTTACGCTGCGTGTGCATCTGTGTGTGCATCTGTGTGTGCACGGCACGGCATGCTCCCCTGCCCCCCTGATGCCGCCCCATCATCAGATTATGGCCATGGCCACACTCACGCTCTGCTACAACAACATCCAAGTCTTTCAAAAGGAGGTCAAGCCCAGGCTCGGTACGCTCCAATAACCATAATTACAAATGACTAGAAATGGAGTTTTATCCTCACATCACATCTCACTACCTGCGTTTTGCAAGCTTGACCCCTCTCAACGAGACTGCTGCCTGCACCCCTCCCTTTCCGTTCACTCTCTCCCAAAAAACCCCGCAACCCCCCCCCTAACTCACGCTCTCTCTCACCGTCCTGCTGCTCCTCTGTGCTGGTCCAGCTGCCAGGGTGATGGACCAGACGTGGAGCATGGCGGATGTGCTAGTCACGTCATGTCACGTCATGTCAAGTCGTGTCATGTGCCTCACAAGCTCCTTCTCTCACCTCACCGTCCTGCTCCTCTGTGAAGGTCTAGCGGCTAGTGTGATGGACCAGACGTGGAGCATGGCGGATGTGCGGGCCTTCTTTCACGCCTTTGCGTTGGAGCTCCTTGCAAAGGTGTGTGCTTGTCTCATACCGACTCTGCCACCTACCTGCCGCCTACCTGCCCGTCAATCCACTGGTGGGTCGTCTGGCAGGCGCCTAGCTGCGCCAGTCACCTAACTGCCAGTCGTGACTTTGAGTCGACTCAAAAGTCACCTGTATCTGACCCCTAATTGCCATCCTTCCGTAGGGTGGTGGTGGTACTCTTGGTTCCTTCCTTGGCCAAGTTTAGCAGTTGTGAAATTGTGCAGACCAGAGCTCTTTACGATCACTGGATTTGATGTGTTGGTAACAGAGTGCCTGTTGCACGAAGCACCAGGTAGGAATCAACCACAATCCCTTCTCCATAAGCAGCACACATTTGGTGCATTGCCTTGCACCTCACATCGCATTGCACCGCACCGCATCTCATCGCATCGCATCTCATCGCACCGCGTCTCATCGCATTGCATCACGTCTCCCGGACCCGTCTCCCCCCCAGGTGCACGACGCAGACCCAAATGCCCAGGCCACGCGGGACAACCTGGCAAAGATCATATCTCTCTGCAAGCCGGGGAAGAAGCTGGCGGGAGTGGAGGGGGAGGCGCTCCAAGGGGCCGTGGTTGGGAGTGGGGGAGGGGGTGGAAGCATGTCTCTCTCCACCACCAGTGTCATGTGGCACGTAGTGTTTGCTGTAAGGAAACTGCTCCTAAGCATGTTCCTCCAGTTCCCATATTGCCTGCCCCATTCTACCCCTTCCCCCTCCTCTCACCAGTCCTATCCCTCCCCCTCAACCCCGTTCGCTCTTCCGTTTCCTCCCCGTTCTTTTGCACTTCATGGTTTTATTTTTTTTTGTTCCTGTTTGAGTATGTGCGTTGTCCTTGCCTCAATGTTTCCTAAACTCACAAGCTAACCTGGAATTCCATGTTTTTGCTTGTGCCTCATGTTTCAGTTGGTTATTGTATCTGTTATGCTGCTGTCAGTGCGCAATGGCCTCCTTCTCTGAAGTCTCCCAAGCTGGGATGTGCTATCTGTACCTCATGTACACACGTCGTTTGCTTACGCTTCCTTTCTCTAGGTATTTTTGTGCATAAACAGCTTTGTTCCAGGATCTACCGTATATCCTGTTTCACATACCTACATCTTTGCTTGCTTGTGATGCTGGTTGGATGGGCATGCTCTGCCCTTTTGTTTTTGCTGTCGGAGATATTTGTTCAATATTTATCCTTGAAAATGTATCCAGAACGGGGAAATACAGGGTAGAAAAAAACTTTTCAGCCAACCAAGCTGGTGGGTGGAGTAGCTAGTAACGGGGTCAGTTTGTAGTTCCATCAAGTTTTTCTTCTGCAGGGCCTAGAAAACTAGTACGGTAAACAACCTGCTTGCTTTGGTAAAGTAGCCTTGATCAACATTGAGTTGATTGCAGTCAGAATTTGCTTGATAATGCGGTATGTACTCTACAACAATGCTTGAGGAGTGTTCTTGCAATTTGAAAAAATGCAGACTTCCATGTTTATAATCAGCTCATTCTTTTTATCGTTAAAAGAACAGTAGCGACTCTACAACGAAGCATGAGGAGGATTTCCCTTGGGCAGAGGCCAGAGGCAGACATGTTTCGTATCGATGTCCTGGAAATTATACATATATTTTGGTTTCTTTGCAAAAGTTCGCTTTGACCCGAATGCAAAAATTCGCCTCCCTCCCTCGCACCTGCCCGTCTTGAGCCCTCAAATCCTGCAATCCTGGACTTGGGCCATCAGCAGCAATCAGGGGTGCATTCCTTGTGCACTGTACCCCGCTAGAGTCGTCCTCTCTCGCCCCCTCTGCTTCCTTCTAGTCAATAGTAGAAAAGGCATTTCCCCATCCTTAGACTAGGTAGCGAAGAGCAACAAGGGGATTCCTCCTCTTGACGGCGCACTTCCTGTCGCGCGTTCCCTGGCCCCAGCGCAGGCGATCCCTTTCAGTCACACACCTGTGTCACCAAACCCTAGCGTAGCTCCACCCGGGAAACCGGGCGATAACTTCCCGTTCTTTAAGGTCAGCGTTCGTCAAACCATGGCTTTCGTTAGCCGGTTCCCCCTCCTCGACAACGCCTTGGCTCACGGTAAGTTCGCCAGTTTTAGGTTCCCGTTGTTTTATTTCTTGCTTTATCTCCCGCTACTATTTCCTGTTCTACCTAACATTTGGTGGCCATGCAGGTGTTTCCGCGGACGTTACAGCTCCTTTCGTTTTCTCGCCATTTCACAATCACGTCTTCCCTCTCAGCTGCAATCGTTGTTTTCATACCCTAAACTTCTTCCTTACCTAACTCGTCCTGATTTCGCCTTCTTATGTCGGCAGATCTGCGGTCAACCTGACCTTTCCTGGTCCTTTCAGGTCTTTAAACGCCATCGCGACCGACGCCACTCCCTTGAGCATTTTCGTTTCCTCTGCTGCCCACCTCTCAGCTCCGCCCGTTTCCAAGCGCGCTCGGTTGGTACACTTGGTTACATCCCGGCCTCCAGCTTCGTACGGTATTTTGTTCTGCGCCTGCTTCGTTGCATGGCTTATCCCTCGCTTGGCTGGCTTTTCAGGTTCGCATCCCAGCCGTCATTTCGCTCCGCTTTTAATCTCACTTGTCTGTCCCAGCCGCCTATTCCTCTCCCTGCGCCGACCGATTCGCCCCCTCCCTGGCACATAACCGTAATGCCTGTTTTTCGGATACCATTGTCCCGCTTTCCTGCTAGTTGCCCCCTGTGGCCACCTGGGCCTCCGTCACCTCGACGTGCCACTGCCTTCGCATGGCTTTTTGACTTGGGAAGCTCCCTAGGCTCCCAGTCAACCCCTCAGGAATGCTTTGGCCGCCTAGGCCTGTGCTTCCACTCTCCTTTTTTACCACTCGTGCACCCTTTCCTTCACCTTTTTCTAACCTTGTCGCGCCCTGCTACGGCTCGCTTCCTCTCTCGATTTTCCCCCCCTGTTTGCTGTTGTGCAACCCCGTCCGCCCCTTCCATTTCAATCCTCCCACTCGTCCTCACTTACTTGCCATCTCCCTCGCCCCCCCTGGCTGGTCTGTGCTTGTACCCTTTTTCCTGCCCGCTTGTCACCCCTCATCCCCTCCCGCCTGATGATCTGACGGCAGTGAAGAAGCCGCACCGCACTCGCCTCGGTGCTCATGTTGGGACCCAATGGTCTGCTCTTTCTTGCTGTCCTGCGGCCAGCCTGCCCTGCCGCATTTCAGCCGGTGTTCGAGTGGCCTTGCGCCTCCATCATCACCACCCTCTACCACCTCCCCTCCCCTTCGGTTCACCCCGTCACCTTTATGCCACCCCTACCCTGCCGCATGTGTTTTTGCTCTCCTTTAACCTCCGCCTCCGCTTCCCCCCTCCCTTTCGTGTTTCTTTGTGCCTTCCCCAACCTCTTCCCTCCATCTCCTCACTGCTCTTCTGCACGCTGTCTCATATCTCCCCCCCTTTTGTTTGGCCTTCCCCGCGCCCAGCTTTATTCCCTGGCTGGTCTCCCCTTGACTCCACTCCGCACGATGCCTCGTTTCTCTGCCATCCCCATGCCTCCCCTTCTCGATCACTCACCCACCTACACCTCTGGCTCCCCCCCAAGCCCTCTGGCAGCCCTGCCTGCTGCCCGTTCCATCAGCAGCCTCAAAAGCCTTCGGCCCGCGGTAGTGTTGGAACACTCCTGCTGCCCCATCTGCTACCTCCCTTGCTGCCCTTCTCGTTCTGCCTGCCTCGTTGCTCGCCGCGCTGCCCGCCTAGAAACTACCGGAAACACCCTGTTTACCAATGCAATTGGCACTTCAGAGAGGGCCCTTGTCCTCCGCCTGCAACCTCAGCGACTAACATTCCTTGCTCTCGGCCTAGCTGGTAGTCTAGCCAATTGACTTATGCTTGCATATTTTTTTGCTCAATGTTTATAAAAGTAACTCATGATGTGCCTGTTTATCACTCCCTTGATGCCTTTTGTCATCAATTATTCCTCCAATGCCCGTGGATCCGCGCACCCTCCGGCGCGGTGGGCGTACATTCAGCAGAATGTTGACGCCCTTACGAGTTCGCTGCCTGAATATCAATGGTATCAATACACCAGTTAAACGCAATGCTCTAAAACGTTGGCTTTCCACCTCTCGTCCTCACGCGGACATTCTCATTTTGGTGGACACACGTCTCTCAAAAAACCTACCTCGACTTTCACTCCAACTCCGGCCACACTCTTCAGTGCACACTCCAACCCTTTACGCTCTGAACTCAATTGGCCAACAAGTTCCGCAACCTGGTGGCATCTCCATCCTGTCCTTCAATCGAGCAGTTTCTCTCACCTCCCCATTCCCCTCCGCCGATGGCCGCCTCCTATCTGTACACATCAACTTCCTGCATGAGCAATTGCGCCTCATCGCCATCTACGCGCCGAGACCTGCCACTGACCGTCGGATCTGGTGGAGATCAATCCTAACTCCTGCATTGGAACAACCATCTGCAGCTGTAGCTACGATCCTCGCCGGTGACTTCAACTCGGTAGTTTCCCCTTTAGACCGTAACCGCCCGTTGCTTGGCCATGAACTTAGCGAGGCCACCATAGTGTCCAATCTTTTGTGTGACATGCATCTTCCACTCCAATCCGTCGA